GACACCACTGGTCGTCATCAGTTCAGATGACAGCTCGCCGTAAGCCCTCACCTGGCTGTATGAGTACGAGTAGAGTGCCTTAATCAGTGCAATATATTTTCTTGGAATTCCCTTTACAGCCAAGCATCTCCAGAGAACTTCCCGATCGACAGAGTCGAATGCTGCCTTTAGGTCAAGAAATATAATGACTGTTGGACGCCGGTAGGAATGCCTATGTTCTAGAATCTGTCGGAGGGTGAAGATATGATCAATACACCCTCTTCCTGGTCTAAAGCCTGCCTGGCTCTCTCGTGTTTGTGCTTCCCGAGCACCACTCAGTCTACGCATGATTATTGAGCCTAAGACTTTAGATACTATATTAGTCAAGCTAATCCCTCTGTGATTATCACAGGAAGACTTGTCTCCCTTCTTGTATATGGGGATAATCAGTGACTTACACCAACCCGATGGGACTTCTTCTGATTCCCAGACGCTGCCTAGTACCTCAGTTAATCCGGACAGTAAGCTGTCTCCACCGTACTTAAATACCTCTGGAGTCATTCCATCAGGTCCCGCTGCTTTGCCTAGTTTCAGATTGGTGACAGCTTTAGTAACCTCAGTTAGTGACGGAGGACCTGTGTTTATATCCCATTCAGGGAGGTGTTGGATGCTCGGAAGGTTGAGCGTGGCTGTGGGCAAATTAAACTGCTCCTCATAATGCTCTTTCCAACGATCCAGTCGTCTATCCTGGGAGCTAATTATAGTGCCATTTTTTTCCGAGATTGTCTCACTAATGATTTGTCTTCTCCCACCCGTTTCCCTGATGAGTCCAAAGAGTTGCCTGGTGTTGCCTATCCTCAAAGCTTTCTCCATCTCTTTGGCTTTTGTCGCCCACCACTGTTCACGGTCCTTGCGGAGACTTTTCGTAAGTTTCCTCTTGTGCAGCTTTCGCTCCTCATTGAATTCGGAGCTCGCCGGAATAAGTCTTCTAGCATCTATCAGTTCGGATGAGGCGGTGGAGATCCAGTGGTTTTTACTCACCTTTGGGTTTACCTTATTCACAGCTTTTACAGCTGTATCTATGGCTGCCTGGATATTTTTCCAAGCTTCTTCAGGGTGAGCACAGCTGTCGAACACAGATATGTGTTTAGCTAGTTCTTCCTGAAATACGGATTTAGTTTCCTGATCGAGCTGGGGACGTGATGGTTTTACCGCCAGCTGTTTCCTACGTCCGTTCAGTCGTAAGCACACCCGAGCGCGGACCAGTGCATGGTCGGTATCTACGCACGTGTTCCAGAAGGAGCGACAATCTCCTACCGACCCACGCCAACGATAGCTTATTGCTATGTGGTCTATTTGTGTCCAGCGTTGGTTTGATGAAGGGGGTCTCCAAGTCAAACAGTGTCTCTCCTTGTGTTTAAAGTTAGTGCTTACAAGAAACAAATGATTATCAGAGCAGAACTGTAGGAGACGGTCACCGTTGTCGGTTCGCTGGCACGGAGCTCCATAGGTGCCACCGACATCCTTCTCAGATTGACACAATTTCCCTACTTGAGCGTTAAAGTCACCAGCTAGAACGACTATGTCTGAGCGTTTAGCCTTTCCACCAAACTAGACAGCTTTTGGTAGAACTCATCCTTCGTTTCATCTGAACTGCAGTCAGTGGGGGCGTAGGCGGAGATTACGAAAAGGCATCGGCGAGTAGTGCAGTCCTTCCTCCTTCTTACTGATCCGTTCAGGCGGACAGCACACATTCGGCTATCTACCGGGATCCAGTCAAGCAATGTCTTTTCTGCCCTAGTACTCAAAGCTATCCCTACGCCAGCTAATCCTCGTGAACTAGCTGTGGCATCTCCTGACACCCTCAAGGTGAATTTTGCAGATTCAACCTGTTGGCCAGGTGGGGTTAGGTGAATAACCACACTTGGGTCTTGTATGCGTGTTTCTGAAACACAGCATACATCAATGGCTCGTGATGCCAGGGTCTTGGCTAGTGATGCTTGTTGTCCTATTTGGCAAAGTGTCCTAACATTAAGAGCTCCTATATGAAATTGGTGGCGCGGCTTTAAGAGGCTGTCGGTGGTGGTTTTTTGGCTTCCATCGTTTTTAGTGGACGCAGAGTGGAGAGGAAGTGGAGAGCTATCAAGTCGAGGAGTTGCATCAGTGGAAGGAAGGCAAGATGATAGAGATGAAGATGAAGACAAAGATGAGTGAGTAATAGAGAGGTTTCGTGTGCATTTCGGATTGTGAGGGCGATTGTTACTTCCCGGCTGCCCACACCGTGGAAGTTGGTTGCGTGACCGCAGAGCCCAGGGGACAACTGCTTGAGGCCGGTCACACGCGGCCTGTTTTTGTTCGTTCTTTTTTGTTTGGTGTGTCTCAGTAGCAGATTTATCACTCCTGCCCTGTGACACGGCAGCAGGAAGCGCGGTCGTTGTTAATCCGGGCCACGGCCGATCCGGCATGAAATTTTGTAATTTTGTATTGGACATGATGTTGGATTGGGTAGCTGCTTTTTGTTTAACCGCTATCCAAACAACCTGCCTGGCATGGTAGACCTCAAGAGACATAAGTCTCAGCCAGTATAGCTTGAATAGATCATTGCGGTGTTCAAGCCCGACCACCACGTCAAGGTAGCAGCTTTCTGTTTCGTCCTAGCTAGTCTACGAGCTCACCTTGTAACCAGGAGGTCCTGTGTTCGAACCCCGCGGTGTGGGTGCGTACTGATGAAGAGTCCCAAACTAGGATGAAACAGCTGTCCAATACTCTCAGGTTTCTGAGTGGTTCTCTAACCGACTGATGATGAAATCAAAATGTGTGGACACAATATGCTGGTATGGCATTTATCACCCTGTCACTCTTGGTGCGGATTTCATAATCTCAATGACTATAAAATAGGTACTCATATTGTACTGAATTTCTTTTTATCATAATTTACAGATGTAAGATATGGTTTCTGAGAGTAGGAGATATTAAAGGACTAGAGATTTTTGATCATAGATCCTCACGTTAAATTAGTCATATTAGACGTAGCTGATCGGTGGGGGGGTGGGGTTCGAGTTGCACCCCATATTCACCAACTTGAGCAGTTCGTTAGTGACACTAACGAGATGCACATAACAATAAATGGTAAGATAAGGTGTAGTCTTAGATGAGGAACGTAAATCAATCGATAGGGTAACCTAAGCTGCAGATATTTAGGTGACTATAACATGTGTTACACACCTTCGGCCACCACTTTGTTCTACGAGCAGAGTTACTTGCAGTAGAATTAAGTTGAAAGATTCTTAAGTTTCATTGGACGTGAACATGGGATCAATCAATGAACTACCCAACAGTTCTATAAGACAGAAGTGGAATTAAGAAACGAACGAACTACTTTAACTGTTTCAATATCTACCATAGCTTATACAATCATTTGGTACCTAATTTGAGATCACGAAAATCACACTGGATCTCTGGGAGCGAACCAACGAGGAACCGATTGTGAAACAAATAGGCAGGAAGAAATCGAGGTGGATTGGAGTGGCCATACGCTGAGGAAACCATCAAGTGACATCACAAGACAAGCCATCGCTCGAGTGGAACCCGAAAGGGAAGTGGCGAGTTGGTCGTCAGTGTGAGGGTGACTTGGAGGAGGTCGTGTGAAGAGGAGATGAAAGCATGTGAGCAGACTTGGAGCGGGCTGAAAAAGTTGGCAGAAAACCGAAGGCAATGGAGACTTGGGCGTCTGAAGCCCTGAAGAGAATTAAGTACGTTTTTAGTACTACAGAGAATGAATCAACTAGAGATTCATCGTTACATAAATAAGACAAGTTTACAGCAACAAAAAAGTTGCAATACTTTATGCACAAAATGACAATAATACAGAATAGTATTCAACGTGTGCGTCGATGGTTCTCAGAGGTAGGATGTTTACCAGACACACACACACATACCATCCAAGTTCGATTCCCGACCCGACCAACGCACTCCTAAACCTCGCTTAGTTGTTAGTAAACCAGGAAAAAAAGAGGGAGGTTGCGGTGGTGTGCCTGTCTGTCCGTCTGTCTGTTTTCGAAACAGAACTTTGCACATATGTGCGGCAGTTCAAGTCGCCAAACTCCCTCCTTGTACAACACAAAGCAAGAGAAGAAAGTAGAAGAAATGCATACTAGAAACAGTAAACAGAGGTATGAGACAAAGGAATAGTAATAACGAAGAACAAAACAGTTTCATTGGAAATCATAAATCACAAGGAGTGGATGCATCTGCACTAGCCATTGAGAACGACTTTGAGCCATATCACCAATTGTTTCCAGCCATAGATTTTTACCGTCCAGTGGACCCCAACCAGGAAGTCTACACCTTCCTACATGGCTTAGACTAACTGTTGTGGATTTCATTGACTGGTTCCATGTTTTGGTTTGACCGCCGCTAGCCCTTTTCTACTCTGACCCTATGTCAGTTAACATTGCCCGTCGAGGAAGGCGATGACTAGACATACGTAACGCATGTTCTAACCATCTCAGTCGGTGTAACTTCACAACCTCGTCGATTGAATTCCCCTCCTTACCTAGCACTCCATCGATGCCTAACCTCAATATTGCTCACCTTATAATACCACTTCACACGGGAAATACAACGCAGGCACCTATGATCAAAGACAGCTAGTCTTTTCATGTCTTCCACTCTCAATGGCCAGGTCTCACAGCTAGCCATAAAGGAGGACGGATCGGACTGATGAGCAGTACACCCGCCCTTTGGGTGTGTGTGTATGTGCGTAATAAGGCTAACAACCCTACCACATACAAACAAAATCACAGCTACTAAAACTGCAAAAGTTCAAACTAGACACCCCCTTTATGTTACACTTGTGAACTCAAAGGCATGAAATGAAGAAAATGAAAAAAATATGATTCACCATAAAAAGTTGTCGAATGACACTCACAACAAAATCAAACCATATGTATTCATATCAATGTAGTTTTCTTGACACAAGGCACAGACACATGTAAAAATTTTATGCTGACAACACTTACTTCTGTTCCTTTAGGTAATTGTAAACGTCCAGGATTTAAATGTCCTTTAGCCATATCACGAATGGGCATTAGGCAAGGACCATCATTCAACGATTTTACTGTCAATTCTACAGTAGCCAAATGTGTAACTAATTGTGGTAAAAATCTATGCATATGACCGTATAACTTGAGTAAGGATTGTTTGTTTATGTCATAGGAGTTATCAGTACTATTTGGTATTGATGCAATTCTATTTCCACAGTGAATATTTATAGCTGGGAGATGACAAGGATACGGTGAATCAGTAGAAAGTCTAGAAATATTAAGGGAAAAAAAGGATTTGTGAAAAGAATAAATAAAAAGATTTAAAACAATTAGTCCCTTTTATAAATTTTGATAGCATTATTAGAAAACGGAGATTATCTGAAAAATGGTATGTGATGTATTTGCGCTATACATTTCGAACAATCTGATTACACATTTACTTGTCAAGTCAATATATATGGAAAAGTTAAATTAAACAAGTGGCCCATGTGGTCTAGTGGATAACACTTTAGCCAAGGGAACCCAACTACCAAGGAAGATAAACAGATTAAACAATGGGCGGATCACTTCAAAGGACTCTTGAACCGACCATCACCTGCACAACCCGTCCAGAAATACCAACAACAGCGCGTACACAACTGCAAGTTGACAACAATACTCCAACGATAGCTGAAGTCTTGAATGCAATCAAACTTCTCAAAGCTGGAAAAGCAGCTGGACCAGATGGAATACCCACTGAAGCACTGAAAGCGGACACAGAGACTACAGCAGACATGCTGACTCCATTGTTGCGAAGGGTCTGGAAGGAGGGAAAGGTGCCTATTGACTGGAGGAAAGGTTACCTCGTGAAACTACCAAAGAAGGGCGAATTAGGACTCTGCAAGAACTGGCGAGGAATCATCCTCCTGTCGACGCCAAGTAAAATTCTGAGGCGTATCTTCCTGGAGAGAATAAAGGACGCACTGGATACAGAACTCCGACCAGAACAAGCTGGATTCAGGAAAGGCAAATCATGTTCTGACCGAATTGTAACTCTACGCATCATCAAAGACTTAAAAGGACATATAGGCTTAATGTTTTCAGTTATCCTTATTTGCAAAGTAATCTTCAGTCATGTGTCCGAGAATTAAGCTGTTTTTATCACCACTGAATTGGAACTTGAAAAGTACTTAAACTCCTTCTTTTCATTTCATTTTGTAGTCTTTTATTGCCTACAAAGTGTCCCTAAGAAGAGTAAAACAAACATTGAAGTGACTGACTGACTGTTTCCAACATAAAACTTTGCACAGATATGTAGCAGTTCGAGTTCCCACACTCCACGTGGCACATAAAGTCAGAGAAGAGAGTAGGGAAAGACTCAAAAGAGAGATAATAAAAACAAATATGAAGCAAACGAAAAAAATGGTAGTATGGAAGAACAACAGAGTTCTGTTGGATATTGTAAATCACAAGGAGTGGATACATCTGCGCCAGCAATATCACCGATTGTCTCCAGCGTTCATTGTTTTTTACCATCCTGCAGACCCCAAACGGGAAGTTCACACCTCCCTAAGTGACTGGCTGAGACCAACTGTTTTGGATTTCACTACAATACTACTACTTTACAATGAAGCGTAACAACTCACCCTGATATGTCATGATGCTTGTCCCTAATATGCTGGTGCCAGATCATTTACCAAACAGCTCGCATTAACGGCAGGGTAAAGGCGATGGTAGGTACACTGTGGTCTTCCTCCCAAAATGCTTTTTCATATGACCATGAGTTCGATTCCCTGCCTTCATGTGGCCAGGGTATTTCTCACGAAAGTAAAATGTCGGATTCAAACCTCTAAGTTTTACAAACGGAATGGTGGACAGGTGAAGTCTACTTTGGGGAGCTGGAAAACCGTGATTTCAAACTTATGATGTATATGGGTTCATGAATCTGAAAGGATCAAATGGCGTACGAACCTGCTTTGATCACTGGAAACTATGAGAACACAGCTCCTGAGGCTGCTCCACTGCCTTGTGGATCAGACTTCATATCAGAGGCATAGAGAGTAGGGACTACTCAGGAAAATCACCCGCCTCGGTCTAGACGTCTCTTGGTATCCATGATATACCAAGTTTGGGTTTTAAGGATAATAAAGTAATCAACAAACATGTGATGCATTTAGCCAGATTTCAAGCAGAACGTGACTTCATTACATGCGGATTGAAGCTCAACCTAGTCCGTGGAATTTATCAGAAGAAAAAGTTCACGATGAAAGATAGCAAACAGAGTCGAAAAAATCACAGGCAATGTTACACAATAATTTCTCTTCACGTTTTTGCAATTATAAAATATAATATTTGTTGTCGTTACAATATAATGGCCAGTTATGCGGCGGAGACATTTTTTACGTAGATATCTTACCTAACCTTAGCTCTTCTTCATGAATATACCATTTCAACTGTTCATGTGGTTCAAATTATATAGGGAGCACGATTAGGCAGGTTCGTCTACGGGTTCGAGAACATTTACCAGCTTAATTCAGCAAGGGTGGGAAATCAGGTGAATAAAAAGCTCGATCCTGTCATACTTGGTCGATACTGGACATCGCATCGACGTCAACACAGCTTTCAGGGTTACATACCGAATTCCAAAGTCGTCATCACGTACAGTTTGCTTACGTCTCCTACACATAGCTGAAGCTGTTGCAATAAGACCGACTAAACCGGAACCTTGTATCCAAAAAGAACACCTTCAGATGCTGTTCCTACCGTGGCCAAACTTGGATTAATGATTCTTCTTCTCACCAAGAGTGCTTCTTCCGTCTAATCCTCTTGGTTTTTTTCTTTCTTTGCTTATTATTACAATTATTATTATTATTCCACATGCAAACATTCTCTCAATACTATCGAATTTTCCATTTAAACTATTTGGACTTATTGTTAGTGATATAATCTCTTTTCTCAATATATACCTTACTCCACTTGTCTCATTTCACACATTCGTTATTTCATTTTGAACCTCCCATTTCAGTCTTACTATCTCCTCGTCTTTAATGCATACCACTTTGTACTAGCCACTCAATCACCTGACACCTTTTATAACATTGAACTGATTTGTCAATTTTCCTACCCCAAACCCTACAAATCTATTATGATTAATCACCACCATTGTCTCCTGTTTTACAATATCTTGTAATCCATTTCAACCTAACACGACTATTTATTTTGACACCCATAACTGCTAATCTGTTATTCTACGTAAAAAATGTATCCGCTGCATAACTGGCCACTATATATATTGTAACGACAACAAATATAGTCATATTTTATAATTGTAAGAACCTGAAGTAGAGAAATTATTGAAAAGAATATTCTACGTTTAGATTGACTTTTAATTCATGTGATATGGGAATATTTCATACTATTAAATGTTATACAACACCAACTATGACTTACCGAGTCGACACAAGATGTAACAGTACATATTCAGCTACGATTTCATCACCATAAAACAATGTAGTCAAACAGTTAATTAACTTTGCACGAATCATTTGAATTTCACCACACTGACTGCTAACTAGATATGCAGTAGAAAGGAAACTTTATGATTTATGAAAATTAGTTACTTACGTAAGGGAGCTGATATTTCACAGATTAGTGGATTATTATGCATTAACTGTTTCACTATAACAGCATGTATTCTAGGCAAAGGTTCTTGACATTTTTCCTCTGGTTCACAACAATCCTCGGGTAATGCAGCACAGAGACGTGCATGTTCTAATATTCCATAGATTTCAACAATATCATTAATTTTAAATTGAGATTGAGCACCATCATACACCTAAGTAAAAAGTGATAAACTCAGTCAGGAAGATAGATCCACAGAACCTAGATATATACTGTGTAATAACCAATGACTAACTGAACAAATATGTACAAGAGAAACAATATTAACATGAATAATGTTCAGGAAGGCTTTGTGTGCTTTTGGAAGTTTGTGGGCAGTTACTTCTCAGCTGCCCACACGGTGGAAGTTGATTGATTCTTCCAGTACTTGAAACAGAGAGAGGGTTAGTGTTGCGCGACCGAAGAGCCCAAGAGACAACTGCTTGAGGCCAGCCGGTCACACACGGCCTGTGTGAACTGGTTTCTGGGATTGGTTCCGTAGGTGGGGTAAGTGGGGATGTACAATTTTTGGGGTCGACCTTTTCTAACCCCTCTCTCCGGAGTGGAGAGACAGCATAGCTGGCTGGCTGGCAGGCTGGTCATCTGAGGGAAACAACTTAATGCTGTTACATCCCTGTTTTCCAGCAGTACGACTTCGCCGTCAGACCCCCAGCATAGTGTAAGAAAGATTCTTACACAATTCCAGTAACTGCTTTTAGTCTAATCACTATCCTAACAACCTTCCTGGCATGGTAGGACCCGTAGGAACATTGGTTCCAGCCAGTGTAGCTTGTTGGGTCACCGCGATGTGTAAGCCCGACCACCACGTTAAGGTAGCATCTATCGGTCGGGAATATTAACATGAAGATTTAATGGACCTGAGACATGATAAAACACTGAATCCATCTGCACTGTCGGAAGAAATTTTGAGCTATATAATACCAATAGTCTCCAGCCATTGGTTCATAGCATCTCAAGGACTCCAATTAAACAGTCTACACCTCCCTACGTGGTTGGCTGAAACCAAATATCAAAGAATTCATGAACTGATGACAGGATTTATTTGACCGCATGTAACTGTTTTCTAACCTAACCCTATATCAACTGACATTGGTAAACGAGGTAGGTGGTGGATCGACACGCGGACCACATATCCAAGGCTTCTCAATTAACGTAGGCTCACAACCTCATCGATTAACTTTTCCTTCTTATCTAACACTATGCCTAACCTCAATACTGCACCCCACATTATACCAGTTAGTACGGAGAAGACAGAAAGGAAACATCTGTGGGCAATGACCATGTCTCACAGCCACTAAGGAGAGCGAAGAGAACTGAGCAGTACACGCGTCCTCTGAACGATAACCAGCCGCATATCAATTCTATATCAGGAATGATGCCATCTAGCAAATGCCACGCGAGTCTTTTTTAACCGTGTTGAAATTTCATCAACATTCAGTTTATTTGAGCTGACGCAACTTCTCAAATAAGTGAAGTGGTTAACATGAGATACCAATGTTAACACACCCAATGTTGGCACTACAACCAAATAAATTGAATGTTAAATTAAGAATGCAAATGATATCATCGGTAATTGTGCAAACTAAAACTAACAGGAACTATGTAAAACTTCAAACAATATTTTTGAACTAGTGTCATGGTAATTTCATCAAACATGTATGACACTCAAAGACAATAATGGTTAATTACCTAAACGCTTTACGTCTATAATGGGTCAGTAAGCGAACGGACTAGGGTTTAAATCTGTAAATCACTGATTACCAACCAAATCATGACTACATTAATGTAACTACACTTTTTGGCAAACATTTTTACCTAATGCGCTCAATATGTGACGGTTAGTAATATTACACAAAGCAGTATTTGAATTTCAAACCAATTGTTATTATTATTATTGTTCCCTTGGGTTCCTAGTGGAACATAGTGCTTCAACTGCACGTCTATACTGTTTCAACTCTTTTTCTCACGATCTCCTCCATGTCATCCTTGGACTTCCTACTCACGCTTCCCTTTTGGGTTCCACTCGAGCAATGGCCTGACGCGCCCGATGTCACCCAGTGGCCTCCTCAGCGAGTGTCCGATTCATCTCCGCTTTCTCTTGCATATTTGTTGGTTGGCGATTGGTTCTTGTTTCGTTTGTTCCTTCCCATAGTTTCTTGTTGGTGATTCCTTCCGTCCCGGCCCTCTGACCTTCAGCATAGAGCAAAGACAGTTAGTTATTGATAAAGGTCTGCAACAGGCTGTTGGAAATATTCTTTGTGCCCCTCCCGCCAAGTTTCTGATCCGTATAGAAGAGCTGACTGACTTGACGTTGTTTGTATTGAAAATTCGACCGAATTTTGTTGTTGATGCTGAGTTGAGTGACGAAGATTTCCAGATTGATTCCAGGTTGATGAATGTGTTTCTCGCCCCCCCCACCCGGTTCTCGCTCGATTTGACATCCTCGTCCGCTCCGACTGCGTGTAGTTGAGACAATGCTCCCTAGATTAGTGAGTGAAGGAAGTGACCTCTTTCAAATCCCTCCCGTTGATGGTGATTGGCGTTGGATGTTTCTGCTGTTGTTGTTGGTTGGTTGGTTATTTTCATAACCTCCGTCTTGTCTATGCTCATCTGGAGTCCTGTCTTCTCCGACTGCCTCTTCAACCAGTTTGTCGGTTTTCGCTTGTAAGTCTTCGATTTTGTGTGACATCAAACATAAATCATCCACGCGCGACATCCAGGTCTTCTAGGTTCTTCACGTCGGTCGGTCCAGGATATCCCTGTCTTCTCGTTTCCCACTCACTGTCTGACGCATAATCCAGTCAGTCCGCCACAATTAGGAATATCATTGGTGATAATAAGCGAGCACCCTTGTTTGACTCCTGTGTTTACTCCAAACGCCTCGCTGAGTTTTCCGTTGTGGATCACTTGATATGTTCCGTTGTTGTACAGCTGTTGAATAAGGTTGATGGATATTTGGGGTACGCTGTAGTACTTGAGTTGTTTTCAAATTACTTCGCGGTTAGCGCTGTCTGTCGAAGGCCTTCTCAAAGTCTATAAAGTTGAGGTAGAGGTTTGATTGCCATTCCATGCTTTGTTCTGTGATGATGATGCGTAGAGTCACAATTCGGTCAGAACATGATTTGCCTTTCCTGAATCCAGCTTGTTCTGGTCGGAGTTCTGTATCCAGTGCGTCCTTTATTCTCTCCAGGAAGATACGCCTCAGAATTTTACTTGGCGTCGACAGGAGGATGATTCCTCGCCAGTTCTTGCAGAGTCCTAATTCGCCCTTCTTTGGTAGTTTCACGAGGTAACCTTTCCTCCAGTCAATAGGCACCTTTCCCTCCTTCCAGACCCTTCGCAACAATGGAGTCAGCATGTCTGCTGTAGTCTCTGTGTCCGCTTTCAGTGCTTCAGGGGGTATTCCATCTGGTCCAGCTGCTTTTCCAGCTTTGAGAAGCTTGATTGGATTCAAGACTTCAGGTTTCGTTGGAGTATTGTTGTCAACTAGCAGTTAAGTACGTGCTGTTGTTGGTATTTCTGGACGAGTTGCAGGTGGTGGTCAGTTCAAGTGTCCTTTAAAGTGATCGCCGCATTGTTTAATGTTTTTCTTCCTTGGTAATTGGGTTTCCTTGGCTGTCTTTTATAGGTCAAACCAAGTGAGCCGAAGTTAATTGCTTAAAGATGAGAACAGCCATGCCTTCGAAAAAAACTAGTAAAATAGCTGTGTACAAACCTACATCGGTGACTTTCATGTTACAGAATCGATACTTAATTTTTATGGAGACAATAGGTAGTTGTGTTTTCTAGAATAATATTCACTCAGATGCTGGAAAGAAAAAAACTTCAAATGAATATATATGTCAACAAAGAACTCTTTTCAAAATATCCTAACCATGTTTTGTAATACAATGGAGTAACCGCATTTCTTAATATTAAAAAATATGGAGTAGACTAGTACTGTGTGTGGGTGCAAATACCAAGTTTACACTTATGAAAGGTTGTACTAAATTAAAGCATAAAAGTAAAACAATGGAATCTTAAGACATGAAGTGAAATGCATTAACAGTAGAACAAGATAAACAGCTACGCTTATTACTATTAACAAAAATAGAACACGTTCGTCGTAAACACTAAAATCGTATAAACGAATTTGTGATATTTCATTGTGCTTAGTGATTTACATGCATCTGAGGTTCATGACGCTCCTGTTAGTAAATTCAAAACCGCCTGAGGTTTATACTTTTTGGAGTACCCAAAAGCATCATAAAAATTAACCATAGAAATAAGAGCTTTCAATTCATGAGAGGAACACAGTAGCTGGGGGAGCATATTCATATTTTACAAATTTGTACGTGCATCTAAAGAATACAATAATAATAATAATGTGCATCTAGAAGGAATTGGTTCCTAAACTGTGGACTTGCTTCATTATATGCAACGGATACAAAAAGATGACGAATGAACGTAGATGACTAATAAAAATTACACACTTTACTAATGATACCTCTATAGTTTTGCAATTGATAGTGTTCTCTGAGCTCCTTGGTTTAATTGCGGAGCTTTCATCGTTTTTCTGGACGACATCTTCAGCGCAGTATTTAGATAAAGTGAAATGATTTAAATTTCTTCGAGTCTCCCGGTAACCATCTTTAGATATGTATTGACCGTTTTCTATTGATTGGGATTTTAAACTTTCTGATCACCTGATTTGCTTTTTTATTAGTTGGTATATTTCATCTATATTAACGTGTTTATTAATTGCGTTTTCATTTGAGTACCAGGCTTCTAGGAATTCCCTGGCACATTTGGTGTTTCCTCTGTTTAAGATTTTGACATTGTCCCAATCCTAGAAGCCTGGTACTCAAATGAAAACGCAATTAATAAACACGTTAATATAGATGAAATATACCAACTAATAAAAAAGCAAATCAGGTGATCAGAAAGTTTAAAATCCCAATCAATAGAAAACGGTCAATACATATCTAAAGATGGTTACCGGGAGACTCGAAGAAATTTAAATCATTTCACTTTATCTAAATACTGCGCTGAGGATGTCGTCCAGAATGACGGTGAAAGCTCCGCAATTAAACCAAGGAGCTCAGAGAACACTATCAATTGCAAATCATCCACCTGAGTTACAAATCTTTTCTATACCTTTATAGTATCCTCTGATTATGATGGAACCGGATGGTGACCAACAAACAGGTAGGTCATTGATATAAGAATAAAACTTGTGCACTGTGGTAGAGTATAATTCCATTATGGGTAAATTTTTCTTTGATAAAATCTCAGTGTTATAAAGTAATGTTTACTAATGGAACTATATAAATGAAGTTAAGAAGTCGTGTGAGTACCTTGATATGATTATGAGTAATAAATTGTGCTTGAAACGTCATCAGTAAACATTACTGTATAACAATGCGAGATTTTATCAAAACAAAAATTTACCCATAAACAGGTAGGTCAGTCTAGAAAGTTATGTCTTTTTCACCCGAGACAACTTTAATCTTATTCTTTTGAGTTCTGAGTGGAACACAGTCTGTCTGTCTGGATTCAACATAGAACTTGGCACCGAAGTGCAGCAGTTCGAGTTGCCACCTTCCAAATAGCACACAGAGGTAGACAAGAAGATGAGTGGAGAGAATCAATACAGTCTGACAAGTATAAGAGTGAAACAGAATGGGTAATGGTAGGAAGGAATATGAAAGATTACAGAGACTGAATACATCTGCGCTAGCCATTGACAACGATTTTGAGCCATGTCACCTATTGTCTCCAGTCATTGATTCCTAGAGTCCCGAGGGCCCCAACCCGGGAGTCTGAATCTCCCTACCTGACTCAGTTTAGCTGTCAAGGATTTCATGGATTGATGCCATGTTTTTGTTTGGCCACCACTGGCTCTTTTCCAACCTGAACCTATGTCAGCTAGCAATGCCCGTCGGAGGAGGCGGTGGTTAGGCATGCGCAGCACGTGACCTAGCCATCTTAGTCTATGTAACTTTATAGCCTCGTCGATTGATTTTCCCTCTTTGCCCAACACTCTACGCCTAACATCAACATTACTTATCTTGTGAAACCACCTAACGTGAGACAGAGATCGCAGACATCTATGATCGAAAGCAGTTAACCTTTTCATGTCTTCAACGCGTATTGGCCATGTTTCAGAGCCATAGAGAAGGACGGAGCGAACTGATGAGCAGTACACACGTCCCTTGGTTGATAACCGGATGTCACGCCTACGCCAGAGATGGTGTAAGTCAGCGAAAGCAGCTCGAGCTTTTCGGATCCGTGCTGAGATTTCATCGCCAATCAGTCCGTTGGTGATGATACAACTTCCCAAGTAGGTGAAGTGGTCAACATGTTCTATCACTTCACTCCCTATCACTAAGTTAGGGGTTGACGTGGTCCAGTCCTGTAGCAGCATCTTACATTTTGTAGGGGCGAATCGCATGCCAAACATACGAAGATTGCTGCTCAAGGTGTTCAGGAGACTCTGCATTTTTTCAGCATCCTCCCCTAACAGGACTATGTCATCTGCATATTCTAAGTCCATTAGATTATTCCCTGGTAATAAGTCGATTCCTAAGTCACTACGTTCACAGTGCTTGAAGCTTTGAACTCTCAGTAGCAATACATAAGCATACATATATCATATTTTTTCAAATAAAAACCACCTAAATATGGTATCAACACTTGGAGACTTACCTGTCAGGTATTAAGACAGATCACGTGCATTGCAAGTATAGTGATTGAACGGACTTCTTCTGTATGCAGAGTTAAGGGCCTAGCAAGTGAATTGCCATTGCTTCTGCAGTTTGGAGAGGTTTGACTCGTACAATTTTAGGAGGACTACTTCGTATTCTGTAGATGACTTTGAAGTTTGTTTGGAGTGTAGCTTGGTGTCCGGAATGTATCAGATGTTCTAAGATAGAGCTGCGGCAGCACCGCTTTTGTCCTTTGTAAAACCATGCTTGTAAGTGTTCGGTGATACGTTTGGATAGAGAACGCTGGGTACGGTCGACTCACCGGGCTCCACACAAGCAGGTGAATTGGTAGATACACATTGATGAGGCCAGCAGCGGTAGTTTATCCCTCACGTTCATACGAATCATAGGTCTCGTGCACCGCAGATACCATAGAAGACGAAGTGCACGATCTGAAGAGAATCTTCGTCGAGAATTGTTACCCAGAACAATTTATTGCAAAGTCCATGAATCGTAGGCCTTAAAAGCCACCCACATTTAGCGTCCCGAAAATTCTCCTCTACATGAACCTTCAATTCAATAGAGCCTCATTTGCGGAAACACTGAAAAATCGGCTGTTCCGTTCACTTAATAAAACCTCTTTCGCAGCTGAACTATGATTAACCTCCACGAAATCTATGATTCGTATGAACGTGAAGGATAAGCCACCACTGTTGGCCTCATCGATGTGTATCTACCCAGCGTTCGCTATCCAGACGTATCACCGAACACTTACAAGCATGGTTTTACAAAGGACAAAAGCGATGCTGCCGCAGCTCTATCTTAGAACATCTGATACATTCCGGACACCAAGCTACACTCCAAACAAACTTCAAAGTCGTCTACAGAATATGAAGCAGTCTTTCTAAAAGTATACGAGTCAAACTTCTCCAAACTGCAGAAGCAATGGCAATTCACTTGCTAGGCCCTTAACCCTGCATACAGAAGAAGTCCGTTCAATCACTATACTTGCAAATGGACGTAATCTGCCTTTATACTCGACAGGTAAATTCTATTTCTTCCTGTTTCGATAAAACGATAACACGAACAATAATTTTTTATTACAGCTTGATTCCACACTGTGTTTTTGGTACAAGTATAGAATTTTCAGCATGGATATTAGTAGCCCAAATTTCGCAGGCCGACAATAGATATCAAGTGTGTGTCAGCAGGGGATCGAACCTCGGACCATGTGCATGGTCGACGAGAGTCCTAACCACTGTACCACCGACGCACATTTAGAGAATTTAAATGATAATAGCAGTAAGTAATACTAGTCAGTTGCCTAATAAAAGCCTTTCACAATGAAGGATGAATGACATTCAATGTGGAGGAGCTTATAAATTGTTCAGTTTTCCAGATTGAGGAGGGTTGAGCAAAGTTAGAACTAAGTATCTATTGGTTAAAAGTCAATTGTTTAAGGTAGTGAGCCATATCTCTACCAGAGTGACAACCTAAAATATTTCGGCAGGGAAGATAAAGTAGTTAAGTCAGCAAAAGGGAAAATATGATTCAATACACTTCATACCTATGACACATAAGTTAACAGTATAACAAAGAAAAAGTTAACTATAGCAATAACTGCTTACCCGTAACAAAGCACCCGATTTCTCCTCATTTTTTTCTTCTTCAATTAATGGAAAATGCTTAGAATACTTGACTTGATTAGGAGCACTTTCTGTTGCTACTAAATAAGATAACCAATAATAAAATGACACGAAAACCACCTATACTCTTGGACTTTTTATGAATTACTTCCGCGGGTTGATTTAAGTGCCGTTTTTGACCTGATAGAGGCACTGGTAAGGTAAATTCATTGGCTTTTACTCTTGCGTAATATATAGTTCAAGAAAATACAGCTTATACAACACTGTCACACTAAACTCATTCATAACCACGAGAAAAATCAATTCCAATTGGGTTTTTTTTAAACATTTATACACTATGGTTTTATATTACCTATAATTAAATCATACTGCACATATTGATTTCCAATAGTTGATAAAAGATACCCATACACTTCGCAAACACTTTATTTGTCTCAAACTCAAGCAAAGGAATTCGCTTCTTTCTTTAACAGCACCTTGGTATGAAGCTATCTAACCTATAGCCAACGGCAGATACTCTCCAGTATATCCAGTGTAACTCTAATCCCATTCACAGTACTCCATTCAGATCAAGGATAATCAGAACTAAGTATTCCTGGGAAAACTTAAGCATTACCCGTTCGTTGCAGCAACATACTTATCGGTCTACGTCTTATTCAAAACAGGCATGTTGACCCGTTAATGCACACATCTGCATGTAAATATCGGTGACGATTAAATTGTTTGTGACCATATACAACATTTACACCATAAACCCTTACATTTAAAAGTGATTATACGACACATAGGTAATGAAACTGTCAGGACCCACTCAATAGAAACTAAACAGTAAAAAGGATATTTGTCTGACCCAAGGTGATTCACCAGGTACTGGCACTATGTAAAATGACTGGCGTTCAGAAAATTTAACATCTATTGGATTCATATCTTCATTATTCTGTAAAATAAAATAAATGCAGTTTGTTGGAAACCACACATCCATTGATTATTAAAGAAGGATAAGAAACTCACTGTGGGAAACAGCGACACGCAATTGGTAGAGAACAAAAAGGGAATCAGAGTGATACCTATTACCAACTTTTTGGTAGTATAATGAATTTAACATTTTGATTTGATAACTGCATCGGTTAGTTTACTTTGACAGTGTGATGCACTGAGAGAATAACTAGCGTCTGAATACCTTGAGCACATTTGACAACTTTTTAAGATTTCCCCAAGGATTACATTACTCTTAATGAAAAGGCGAAATTCTGCTCATCGTCACAACTATATATAATCATTTAGGGGTGCTTTACACAAATGAAACGTCTCGGTCTTTTTCGGAAATCGTGAAGGATTCTAATCCGAATATTTGGCCCTTGAAGGGAGTGCGATATGTCCGAATTATCTGCCATAGGTATAAGGGCTGTTCGCCGAATGCGACATAACTGAAACAGCCGCTAACTTATTTATTATGTGTATATGCAAGCATCTGCTACACTTTGCACTACGGTTTATCGGTCGCACTTAAGCTATTCAAAAACATTTATTAAACACAGGGAAGTACAATTGCATGCAAGGAGTTTATCGTTGAATTTTGTTATACATTATAACTAGAGAAACGCACACAAAAATCAAAAATTACTTGAAAGTCACTGTAATCTCGATATCTGAAAGACCTGATAGTTTCGTCATTCGCTGACAAACGATACGTATCCATATACAGCTCAGAGTTAAACATATCTTGAACCATTCCAATGATGCGCACTAAATGACCATCTGGAATTCGGTCCAACGTAGTACAACCATATAAAGGCACCTTTAAGCTTCACATATAGGAACTAGTAACAAACCTTCGAGGAGTAGTCATTTACAACTTTTTGAACTTCATCGTGAAAAGACTTATCAGCATTTGCATCTATGAGGTAAACAGTGTATGCTATAGATACTTACGACATATCTGGTCGTATATTTTGAGAGGAGTAGCTATTAAATCACCAACTTCCATTACACAGCAGTCAAACTTTACTGCGTTTAAGAAACCACAGTATTGTACGAAAACAAACGCCGCGCAATCGCGTATTCCAAACTCTCGTGCGCTTTCAAGGTCATCACTAAAACGAAATTCACCAGCCGATCATGAAAATGTACACTTTTCATGTAACGGGTAGAAATTATACATATTAGTCACAGAACTAGTAGTTTGAGCCGTGACTATCTGCCACTAAATCAGTGAGATTCAAATATTCTTTAGAAAAGCTCTGGGTTAATAATAATCCTTATAAAGGCTGGCTTCTTAAATGAAGCTAACTCGAAGTCTCCTGAAATTTAATTCCAAGGCCTTAACAACTCATTGGATGACATCAGGTCCACTCAGGCATACTTCTCAATAGCACTTTTAAATCTCGTTTCTAAGTTGGTCAACAGTTTCGGTGAGCCACTTTACGAGATATGTATTTCAACGGATGACTGGGGACGTGGCGATTTCTGAGCGTAGACCTTAGCAGAATGTTATGCTTCTAATTCATCACTGCACTAGTTTTCGTTATTTGGCTGTGTGTCATGCTGCCAAATATGTAAATTATAGATCTCCTGTCTCACCACTGTATCATGTCAGAATAAATAGGCGACCAATATACAAGACACAGAATTGCAGAATTCAACGAAATAATTAAAACAATTTCCAAATTTTTCCAAGCAAGGCCACATGTAAATCTAAACACTTATTGATCTGTAAAATTGTTCGAGTAATACATCAAGTTTTAATATTGTGAACTCTCAGATTTGCCATGGTCCAGAGCCGAAACGTCTGTTACTAATATCACAAGTGCAGATTCTGACAACTAATAGAGGCAGTTAAATATAATGAACTAAATTGTCCAGTCCTCATAAAAATGAAGAATAATTCATGAAGTATAATGGTGTTCTTTGACAGAGCATTACTGAGTGTAACAACTGTATGGACGGCCCTTAGCGACAATCCGTTGGATACTCTGGGCTTCCTAGGAGGATCTTCGCTTTCAACCACCTTACAATCTTCCGGACGTACCTCTAGATATATGTACAAATTCTATGGTGAGGCTACAGAAATAACGTCTTTCAGTAGCATGCTTTAGATTAAGGGTTTTACCTAGAGAGAATTTATAAGTAGCAATCTGGAAATTAAGAAAATGTGATCAAATTTCTCCTCGGGATGAAATGGGTTGCATCCTTACTATAAGAACCCTTCAGAAGTGAAGGATCAGGTAGCTTCAAAATTTCGCTACTCCAAAATGTTAGTGAGGGATCTCTCTCTTTATTATTATTCTCTTGGTTTCTAAGTGGAACATAGTGTTTCAGCAGCACGTCTCCACTTTTTCTATTTTCTGCTCTCCTCCGTAACCGGGCATACGATTACATATAGTCATAACCTAGCTCATGATGTCATTCGACGGTCTCCTCAGAGTGTGCCAGTTTTCTCCAACACTTTTGAACAGTAGGTTTTTGTTTGTTCCCAACCAAAGTTTCTTATTGCTGATTCTTTCTGTCAATTTGATCTTCAACATGGAGGCAGCGAAGACAGCTCTTGATAAAAGTGCGCGACCTGTTGCAAAAACTTTCCGGAACTCACGCGCATTGCAACTTTCTGACCTGTATAGAAGAAGTGACTGGCTTCACATTTGTGTCGGAAATCCGAATCTTAGTGTTTATGCTGCGGAGTGGATAAGATTTGCAAACTAGTTTCAGGTTGATAGAGGCTTATCTGGTTTTTCGGATTCTGGCTCGCTGGTTTTGAAATCTTCGTCTGTTCCGACTGCCTCTGGTTGAAACGATGCTGACTGCCTAGATAAGTGGAGTAAGTAACCCCTGTCAAACCTCTCCTGTCGAAGGTGACTGTAGGTGGTTGGTTATCTTTATCATCTCCGTGTTCTTTATGGTCATTTGGAGTCCTGTCCGTTCTACCAGCCCCTTCAGCCAGTTTGTTAGCTTTCTCCTGCCTTCAAGATTTTGAGTTTCTGTGACATCAAAGATAAATCATCCACTATATCCAGATCTTCGAGAGTATTCTTATCGGTCCAGCGTATATAAATGAAGGAAAAAAGTTGTGTGAGTAATTTGACATGATTATGAGCAATAAACTACGCTCAAAACGTCGTCAGTAAATATCATTGAATAACACTGAGACTTTATCAGAATAAATTTTACCCATAATGGAATTATACTCAACCACAGAGCACAAGTTCTATTCTTTTCCTTCATCAGCTTTTGTGAAGATGACGTTTTTAACCTGTTTTAGACTAATTAGAGCGAGTCTTTCCGATTTTGTTACGCTTTATTTTTATTTTTCAAGGTTAAATCACAATACTACTGTATAACTACAAGAATTTATCAAAATAAATCCTATCCACAATGAAATTTTCAAATAAATTCTCGGTCAACGCTATCGAAGGTCTTTTCGAAGTCGATGAAGTTAGGGTATAGGTTTGACTCTCATTCTGTGCTTTGTTCTGCGATAACGATGCGTAGAGCTGGAATTTGATCAGCACAGGGTTTACCTTTCCTGAATCCAGCATGTTCTGGTCAGTGGGGCGGAGTACTGCATCCGGTGCATGTTTCATTCTCTCCAAGATGATGCGACTTGGTTTTTTCTTGGTGCGGACGATAGCGTGATTCCATGTCAGTTCTTGAACAGGCCCAAGCCTCCCTTATTTAGCAGTCTGACAAGGTGCCTTTTCTTCCAATAGGTAAGCACCTTTCCTTCCTTACAAACTTTTTGCGGTAACAGCGTGAGCACATCTGTTGCAGTCTCTGGACCCGTTTCAGTGCTTGGGGAGGGAATTTCACCCGGCTCTGCTGCCTTCGTGGATTTCAGTAGCTTGATCGCATTTGGTATTTTATCTTTCGTTGGAGGATCGGTGTCCACCAGTAGGCAGTTCTGTGCGTATGTTCTTGATAATTCTGGGCGAGTTGCAGGTGATCGTTAATTCAAGATTCCTTCAAAGTGATCACCCAATTGTTTGATTTGTTTCTTTTCCTTGGTAATCGGGTTTGCATGAACACATTTCATTGGTTTCATCATATGGGTTGATCTCCTCCCTGACAGAGACCTGGTTATCTGATATAATGTCCCTAGGTCTCTTTCACCTGAGGCCTCTCTGTTCTGCTTCAGTTGCCAGTGTGTCACAGAATTGTCGTTTGTCTTTTATTCCACTTTTCTTATTTTCTTTATTCAGTGCAGTGTACATTGAACTCAACCTATCCTTCTGTTGTCCATCTCTGTATTCAGTCATCTTTTCTTTCACCATCATCCTCTCCTCTCCACTATTAGCTTCCACGTATCTGTTTAGAGCAATTTCTTGTCTTGTCTCTTCTTTCTTCTCAGAACAGTTGTACACGTTTCCTTGAATATCACATGCAGAGAGTTCCAATATTCTTCCACTCAGGTTTCCCCAGTGGTGCCAGGTAGTGTCTCCAACTTTGCTGTCATCTGATATGGAATAAATAAGTCCATTGTAGTTTTGTCCTTCAGTTTGTGAGTTTTGAACTTGAGTTGGGGCATGTATCCATTTGTTTTGAGGGACTTCAGCTTGGCCTTGAGAGTTCTTTGAACTAGATGATGATCGGAGCCCACATCTGTCCCACTTTTCAACTTTGCACCCAGCAGGCTGCGTGTATCTGGCCTTTAGCGTATCATTCAGGCGAAATCCATGTTGGTTTGTGTATATCCTTGTGCTTGTACACGCTGTCTCCGGTAACCAAACCATTCAAAGTGTAGAAGTCTTTGAACAGTTCTCCGTTCTCATCCATTTTCACTAGTCTCTCGACCCATGATGAGCTCTCTTCTTGTATTGTCTGCTCCCGCTTATTATTCATATCACCCATGAGGATTTTGATGTTTCCATTCGGGATGTTGTCTATTGCTGCTTGTGACTGTATACAGAATTCTTTCTTCTTGTCGTGGTTCGCTTTGTTTTTAATTGTAACCTTCGTCCCTTTAAGGCCGAATTTCGCTGCAATAATCCTAAGTGAAATGGTTCCCACTGAACTTGAGCATTGCCTGCCATTTTTGACGTCGTTAGAGCTCCTCACTGCTTAAGTTTGCTCGTGGTTGTCGTCTGGGTGACCGCAGTAGATTACTAACTCACCAGTTGACAATTCTCACAGTCCATATCTATTCAGTCTGCACTCACAGATTCGCAGCATTTCTTCGGCTACCTGGGTAGCCTCCTCAGCCTCTTACATTAAATGGACATCCCACGTCCCCATACTTATTCTGGCCTCCATCGAGAGAAGATACATCGGCAAGCTGAGTGGATTCTCAGAGACTTTCATCAACTTTCTGTGTCATTTCGTCTCTCCAATTTCAGCGAAAGATAAATTTGTCTTTTATACTTTTGTATATTTGATGTTTTTAAGCGTTGAGGTTCATGTAACAGTTTGCTTGCTTTTGTTGGGTAGGGTCACTAGTCCTACGCCTAAACCCCTCTCTTTGCCCGGACTTGGGATTAGCTGAAAAACTATAATATAATATAATATAATATAATATATATTTCACATAAATTAAACATTTACATGATTCACATACCGTTTGTACAGGCATGATCATATTTGACAAGTGCAATCTGAAATTGAACACTTTTATGAAATTAAAATTTGGAAAATGAATAGAAAACTTTACAAGAATAGAATATAAGGTTTTGGTTTAATTCTAAATTATAATATTTAATGCACTCATAGTGAGTCAGATTCATGCGGGAATTATGAAATTTTGCGTTAATGGAATGTAAGAAGAGAGGTGATATACATGTCTGCAGTAAGCCACACTGGATCCAGACCGTTATTTTTATCATTTTATCAATCAGTAAGGGTTCGAAAGTTTATAAAAATCCACATTAGATGGTAAGTACAGCGTTATATTGGTATTAGCAGATAAAAAGGACCAGTTGGTCGCAAAGTTAACTTCGCGATGTTGAACAGAATTCAGAATGGAATTTGTTCCGTTGTTCATCGTAAGTGCTAACAATATTC